CCCCGCCTCGAGACGGCGATCTACGCGCTGGCAGACGGGCCGCTGGCGGGCGCCCTGCTCGTGTGGCAGTGCGCCTGGGTGTTTGGGGACAGCGAATACCAGGCCAGGTGAGGGGCGGGGCGGCAGGGGTAGATTTGCAGGGGAAGGCTGGCCATTCAGGTCTGGGATTGCAGAATCGGGCGCATACGTGTGCTGACTTTGAGGTGCACCCGCTCGGCTGCGAGTGTGAGCCCGGGCGCGGTGCAGCAACGTTGGTCGAGCCCCCTGTATGCTGTCAGTGTATGCGCTGGCGACAGCCGCACGCCTGTGCAGCTGCGGCCACGCGCCAGTTGCTGATACGGGCCACTGTGCACAGCACGGCGTCGCTGGTTTGATGACGTGCATGAGACAGCACCTCTAGCCCGCCCGCAGGGCGGTAGACCCTCCCTCTGGGACCCCTCTAACACCGATTTGCCACCCCTTGTGGCCCACCGCTCAACCCTCGCCTGTTGCAACCCTCACAGCGTGTTCCTGCACTTGCTGCCAGGCCTGGCGATCTTTGCACACCGCAACTTCACGCCGCACTCACTTCGCGGCTGGCGCGGCCTCCTGGGCTGCGGTCGCCGCGTGATCGCGCAAGCATCACTGGCCGCGTGCACCGAGGGCGCGGTGGCGCCGGGCGTACCCCAAAGGCCGGCAAATGTTGGGCTATGGCTGGTGGCAGCACCAATGGTGTTCTATGCTGCTTGGCAGCTGTCCTACTTCCTAGTCGTCCAGGTGACTAAGGGCACTTTTGCGTGTGCATGTGTGTGTTTTGTACGCAATATCCGTGTTGTCGTGCATGATCGCAGCGCGCGTGCGTCTGTGCATGTGCGCATGTGTTTATGCGGTCGCACGTGCGCGTGTGCGGGGTCATGCGCGCGTGCATAGGGGTGTGTGCGTACAGGTCTGCGCGCGCGCGCGCGCGTGTGTGTGTGTGTGTGTGTGTGTGTGTGTGTGCGCGTGCGTGCGCGTGTGCGTGCGTGCGTGCGTGCGAGCAAGCAAGCGTGCGTGCGAGCAAGCAAGCGTGCGTGCGAGCAAGCAAGCGTGCGTGCGCATTAGCAGATGCGCGTGACCCACTGTGTGCATGTAGAATTGCGCGAAATGACGACGCTCCGTATGGTGCAATCACATGGTCAAATGTATGCTGACCGCTCATTACCCGGAATTCCTGACTTTTGAACTTCCTACCCACTTGGCCGCCTCGCAAGGTCGTGTTCCGGGGCTTCATCAATCGGAACGGTTACGCCACGGTGCGAGCAAACACGGGGGGGCCCATGGTTTGTGGAGGGTAGCCACGCGGGGCAGGCCGCAGGTGGCATCGCTGCACCAGACGCCGACCCTCGCCGCGCGCGAGCACATGGTCGTATCGCCACGCCTGCAGCCCGTTGTGTGGTGTCGTCACGTCAACTTCTGTTGGAACTATCCCCACTGGACATGCGCAGTCATACAATCACCTGGCAGCCCGCGCCGCAAAGACGAACAACATTTGGAACCGTCTGGTGAGGGTTTCATGTTTAGGATTGGAGATTTGGGGTACACAAGGGCTCCAAGTAATCTTGAACCTTCCTGGGGCCCGACACCCGTGCTGCAGCACTGCAGGTGCTTGCAAGCACCTGCAGGCATAGCCTCCAGCCGGCGGGCGTGGCGGGTAGCCCCCGGCAGGAAGGCGGGCTCGAGCTGACTCACAGGCGACACTGCCCACAGGTCCGCCGCGGCAGCGTGGCGCGGCGCGTCACGTTCTACGGCC